GTGACTCTAGCTCCGACACTAGCCAGTGGCTCCCCAGCCATTGACCCCACCGCACGTCACTGGTACACGGCACATCCTCGTGCGTCATTCACACGTACACACAACAGTGCTCCACACGTATACACACACACAGTGCTCCGGACAAGATTTTTTTTTTTGGGGGTGGGGGGCGGCCTTTTATTTCAAGAGCGACACTTTTCAACGACAGCGCATGGTATGAAGTTATAATCGGTGATTAAACTCCCCCCAACATTTGCGAGGGCTTCGGTGGGCAGGTTGGCAAAGTCACGTGTATACTGAACTTCTTTCGCACCGTACGCAACCAACCGTGCTCACTGGAGGTGTGTGGGGAAGGACAACAAACTAAACACAAAAGGCAGTTTCTCAAGAAATGAGTTCAATCTACATTTGAAAGTGCGTAGCTCCGGTGGCTTCCTCATATCGGAAGAGCGTTCCGGACGGCCGCAGAGGCGCATCTCCAAGCGCGCGACGCAGCGACCGCATTTATTCGGTGGCGAGACACAAGCCGCTGAGGATGGACTGGAGTTCACGTGATGGTTTACACTCCTTGACGAGATCAGGAAGGCATTGTGGTTCATTTGTGGCAAGGTGTAACGAGTGCTCCCATTTGTTTCAAACCGACCTGCATCGTTCGATGGATACGACTCAAAATACAAAGGTAAAGGGGCAGCCCTGCAAGTGCTCGCTCGCACTGCTCTTGAATCGAGGGCCTCTGTCCCCGTGAACCCAGCTGGGAGTTTGGTCTACGCTGACCGGGCGAGTTGGACGAGGTGTGCGTACCCACGCTAAATGATCTTTATTTTATAAAGCGCCTTTCAAATCGAAAACATCTTAATGTGCCATACATTTAAAAAAATCTGTATATAAAGGACCATAAAATAACTGCACTTTACCCCATCCATCACACGCGATCACCTGATGCACCGTGGTTAACCCGTTTATTCCGCCGGGCAAAGAGCGGCGCGGGAGTAGAATTCGTAAAACATATTTCCCATTGTTTCGAGTGCCGCACTGGAAGAAGAATCAAACCCGTGTGGAATCCTGGATTGTAATTCCGGTGCGCTAAATCATTACACCACCGCGGCAGCTCTTAAGATTTGCCGAAACATTACATTCCACAAACCTCCAAACATTGCAGATTACAACCCTGGCCCGCTGGGATGTGGTAAAAAAAAAAAAACATTTCTCGCAAGCATTTCGGGTCAAAGACGGTTGCGCCAAACCCGATGTATTATTTTCTCGCGAAAAACGCGGCCAGCCCACGAGCTTAGCCCCGTCCCGAGCACGCGCCGTAATTGCCGCGCATGCAAATTGGCCGGCAATTACAGCGGGCGTCGGCCGTCGCGGGCAAGAAGGGACGGTGCTTGCTGGCTCCGACAGGCTCGCCGATCCTCCGTCTTGTTTGCTTGCGCGCCGTGGGAAGGGCGGCTGCGGCGGCGGCGGCGTTGTTTTCGTTTCGTATCCCGGCGTGTGCGTGCACGGCCCAACGAGATCCCGGCGAGCCCAAGGTGGCGTCGGCTTGCGCCAAAGGTCGTTGGAAGCATCGTGGCGGTCACAGGGTGCACCCGGTGGGTTGGGGAGGGGTAATTGCGGATCTCCCCCCCCCCCCCAAATGCTTGTATGATCTTGCCACTTACAATGTTTGCGTTTCCAGAAATTAGCAACCCTGTATTTGGTTCGGTAGAAACTATTTCCCGTCTGAAATGTGTACATGGTTGCGCAACTGCCGGTGGTACCTGCGGTGGAGCTGTGGTGCCTGCAGTGGCGTTGGTGCCTTCGCTCTGGAAACTTACCGTGGAGGTTGTGCAACGCAGTAAAATGGAGCGGCGGCTTCCCCTGGCCAGGCTCTATCCAGTGCCCGGGCACGAAGAAAGACCCTCTCCACATAACTGATTTCAAATGGTGCTAGACCAGGCATACGGAACTCTAAACACCAAGAGAAATCAGTCATCTGGGTGGGGCTGGGCACTACCGGCTGGTTTGAGTGCCGCCGTGGTGGGGCTGGGTGGGCCTCAGTGAGGCCGTGTTGACGGGGCGAGGTTCGGCTGTGGCATGGGAGGCTGGGTCTTGGTGGCGTCGGCGGCTGTCTGGCTTGGTCCCAGCAGCAAGAGCAGCTCAGATGCCGAGCGAAGTTCACCGCCGCAATGCGGTAGCCAAGGGCCGTTTCCTCGCCAAAGTCCGACTGATGTAACCAGGCACGGCTGATGTAACCACGTACGCGCGCCCGACTTCCTCGAGAAGGACCGTGGGCAAGGACCGCACGCTGCCCCTCGAGCTTCAAAGAAGCCGTTCCTCCCCCCACTCCCCAGCCGTCCCCTCGAGCCACATCCGGCAGGCCGCAAAACGCACAGGAACCAACACAACACGCGTGGGCCTACGCTCGGGGCAGCAATGCCAGCGACGTTGTCACACTTCGCCGACGTCGGTGCGGCTGCGGCAACCGAGAGTGAAGGTCACGCACGGATAGGTCCCACCGGTGGCTGCCACCTTGCGGGGAATGCAATTGGCGCCAGTGTAAGTTTTTGTCGATTCTCATGCGGCCACGGTGGGCGGCACGTGCCGCCGGCGTGTGACCATGTGGCGGGTGCAAAGTTTTATTTATCTGGGGACTCCTCGCCCCAATGCTTCAATGATGGTCTCTAGGCTGGCGCGGCTCACCGATGAGCCCTAACGATAGCGAGGATCAGTTTAACACACTGGGCTGGCTCTTGGCTAGCCGTGAGTGTACACGGCTCACCAATCAATACGATTTGGACCTGATCCCGTTCGTCTTGCCCGGATGCAATCGCGAAATGTGTTTATTTTTCGGCTTTCTACGGCGATGTGTATATATAGGTGCACATTGCGACAATGCTGGGCTACCCTTGGCAGTCTGCGTACTCGGTCAACGCTCCCCGACAAATTGGTCCGAGGGCGGCTCGCGGCCGAATCTCTCGCAGCGCGTAGCCAGCTGTAGCGGACGGTCGTGGACGCGGCCGTATGCTCGCCGTTTGGTGAAGTATGTCCAACTCCAGGGACACCGATTTCATATGGTGCTAGAGAAGGAACATCACAGTCTAAGCCACCACGTGAAACCAGCTCCCAGGAGCAGAAGGATCTGTGGCGGTGGCGGCGGTGGCGGTAGTGGGGGGGGGGGGGGAGACGTCGATGAAGATCGGCAGCCCGACGATGGCGACCCCAGGGTGCAGACGTCGCGCGGTCGACCGGCCTGCCAACGTCAACAACACAGCAAGGCCACCATCATATCGTCGTCACATCAACCGCCCTCGTCAGATCATCCACCTTGTCGCGAGATCAATGAGCAGCGTCTGTGCCCGTGCGTTTCACTCGTGTGTGACGGGTTGCTCACCCCGTCACACGGAGTGATTTGACGATCCGTCGTGATTCGGGAGTTACAATTCGTTTCTTTTTATATAAAAAGAATCTTTATATATTTTTTTCCTGTCACTGAGTGTTTACCGTCTCGCTCTTGTTTCTTTTTGGTTCGTTCGTACGCCCCCCCCCCCCCCCTAACCGCGACGACTCGCCGAATCACCGGGAGAATCGCTGCGTGCCTGAGGGTCACCACAGCCTGACCACTGTACCTGAACACTGCACGTCTAATTGTCGTTATTTTTACACCGATGACGAAAGGTGAAAGGCGCGGTTCAGCAATTGCTTACTTGCGCCGCCGCTGGCAGACGCCCCCTCACTCGAGCCGACGACAGGTGCTGTCGCGGCGTGCCCACGCCTTCCATAGGCTTGACCAGATGTGTGACGTCCCCACATTCTACCTCGCCGCACGTGAACTGCCGATCACAAGACTGTGGCGTAACCCATGTATGCTGCTGGGTGGACGGCGGTGGTGGAGGTGGGGATGTATCATAAATCTCCGTGCCGGGAGACTGAACCTGTGGCTTGGCAGTGCGGCGCAGCTTAACCATACAGCCAGCGGCGGCAGCGTCGATGCGAGCTTCAAAAACTCTCGCTCGTCGATAATCTGACGCGAATCGGCCACGACTAAACATTTAGCAAATGTCACGATTCGTCGTCAACGCCAATTTGCACACAGCCACCGGGCTCGTCGTGCCACTGCCGCCCGCCCGCCCGCAGCGCCCATAACCATCGTCACCGCAAGAGCAAACATTCGAACGGCTCCACCCGTCGTATAAAAGCGCCGCTCAAGACGATGCCCGCTCCCCTTCGTTATCCGGGCACCGTGGGTGAACAAGTGCAGCTGTGCGAAAGTCTGCGCCGAACCCTCCTCCTCCTCGCGTCACTGACTGGGCGTCGGCGCCCCCGAGGGGAGCGTTGCGTTGCGCCGCTGACAAAATTTTTTTTTTACAAAACGAGTTTCCCAGGAACTAACTAAACGCCCTGCGTGCTCCGTGGGAGCCACAGACCTGAGCCTCCGGGCTCCGCCAACAAACAAATATCGACCCACGCAGCACAAACCTGAGCTGACTTCATGGGGTTTTTTTTTAAAGCTTAATTAGCAAACGGAGGTGGAAAGCTGTGGAGTGCGCGTGCGTTGCTGTTGTTGTGGTCGTGGCGTGCGTTGTTGTTGTTGTACTCGTGGCGTGCGTTGTTGTTGTTGTGGTCGTGGCGTGCGTTGTTGTTGTTGTGGTCGTGGCGTGCGTTGTTGTTGTTGTGGTCGTGGCGTGCGTTGTTGTTGTTGTGGTCGTGGCGTGCGTTGTTGTTGTGGTCGTGGCTTGCGTTGTGGTCGTGGTCGTGGCGTGCGTTGTTGTTGTGGTCGTGGCTTGCGTTGTGGTCGTGGTCGTGGCAGTGCGTTGTGGTCGTGGCGTTGTTGTTGTGGTCGTGGCGTGCGTTGTTGTTGTTGTGGTCGTGGCGTGCGTTGTTGTTGTTGTGGTCGTGGCGTGCGTTGTTGTTGTTGTGGTCGTGGCGTGCGTTGTGGTCGTGGCGTGCGTTGTGGCCGTGGCGTGCGTTGTGGCCGTGGCCGTGGCGTGCGTTGTGGTCGTGGCGTTGTTGTTGTCGTGGCGTGCGTTGTTGTTGTTGTGGTCGTGGCATGCGTTGTTGTTGTGGTGGTCATGGCGTGCATTGTTGTTGTGGTCGTGGCGTTGTTGTTGTTGTGGTCGTGGCGTACGATGCTGTTGTGTGTCATTGCGTGCGTTGTTGTTGTTGTGGTCGTGACCCCCCCCCCCCACGCCGACGTTTCTCTCCAAGTGCCAGGGGCTCGTCCGTTCGTTGTGGTGGTGGGGCGTGTAATGACGTACAGACTTACACGATTATCGTCGATCCTCAAGATCACAACGCAAGCCTCAGATGGCAGAAATCATTTGTTGTCTTCGGTTCGCACGCGTTCATCTGCAAACAGGGTCAGGTGACCACTGCAGCCACAAATAGCCTCTACAATCGCTGCAGTGTTTAACTGAGAATCGATTATTGAATCGCAGGTGGGGGGTGGGGAGAGTGGTTTAATTGTTGCACCTGTGGTTTCTCAGTTTAATTACCAGGTAGGGCCCCCACCGAGCTATGCAGCTCTTTTTCAGAAGCGACCTGGCCACAAATAATAGCGCAACGAAGTGACTTCTATCACCTGGAAATGTATCGCAGCCAAATACTCTAAACACGTGTTTCTGAATGTCGCCCAAGACGACGACGGGGAGCGAGAGAACAGGCAAACTCCAAATATACAGCAGGCGTCAAGGTCAGGATCGAACCCACAACCTCCTGTATACCAGGCGAGGTAGTTAACATCTAGCCACCGTGGCGCCCATGCATCGCAGCCAAAGGTATCGTTTGCCGGCCGCCGCAGCCAAACACCCCAACGGAGCGGCAGGACCCTCTTGACAGAAGAAGCCTTGGGACTCGGCGAGGCTTTCTAGGTAAGTTCGTTCGTCGTCTTCGCCAGCATCAGCCAGGTTCAATCCACTGCTGGATGAAGGCCCTCCCCCCCCCAGACTGCCGCCGCCGCCACCTCACTGGCGATCCTGCGGCGACGAGACGATCTGCGTGGCTACCGCCGCGTGGAGGTGCGAGGCGTTGGTTCGATTGTTCGGGAAGTCGTCATATGCAAATTATTTTGTCAAGGCGCTCTTCCCCCTCCAACCCAGCTTAAATGTACGCTCCAAGCCTGGGGTGTTTCATTCAGACGCTGTCTTCCCGACAGACCTGTTCTTCACCTGAGGACGGCTGCTTGCGTTGTGGCCGAAACGTCGTGAGAATTATTTAATGTTTTATTTTTATTATTTTATTATTTTCCTTCTACGTGACTTTACCGAAAGAACCAAGAAGAAATTGTCATTCCTTACACAGTTACCTGCACCAGTCGCCACGGTCCCGCCGCACCCGGGGCGCAAGCGTCGTGCCACCCGTCGCGCACCTGTGCAGGCAGCCGATGCAGCCAAAGCCTCCAGCGGCACCTGGAACGGGGGTGGGGGGGGGGCACACACGTACGCGCAGACACCTGTGCAAATTGCACTGGGAGGACACACCTGTACGAGGCATGCGCATGTGAACACACCTGTGTAAGTAGTCTATGGTGCTCACGCAGGTGAACACACCTGTGTAAGTAACACACCTGTATATCTAGTGTATGGAGGACCCAGGTAAACACCAATATGGGTGCACACAGGTAAGCACACACCTGTATAGGGTAGCGTACGGAGCACCCAGGTAAAACACACCTGTATAGAGTGCACAGGTAAGCATACACCTGTATAGGTAGTGTATGGAGCACCCAGGTAAACACACCTGTATGGAGTGCACAGGTAAGCACACACCTGTATGGGTAGCGTACGGAGCACACAGGTAAACACACCTGTATGGAGTGCACAGGTAAGCACACACTTGTATGGGTAGCGTATGGAGCACCCAGGTAAACACACCTGTATGGAGTGCACAGGTAAGCACACACCTGTATGGGTAGCGTACAGAGCACCCAGGTAAACACACCTGTATGGAGTGCACAGGTAAGCACACACTTGTATGGGTAGCGTATGGAGCACACAGGTAAACACACCTGTATGGAGTGCACAGGTAAGCACACACCTGTATGGGTAGCGTATGGAGCGCACAGGTAAACACACCTGTATGGAGTGCACAGGTAAGCACACACCTGTATGGGTAGCGTATGGAGCACACAGGTAAACACACCTGTATGGAGTGCACAGGTAAGCACACACCTGTATGGGTAGCGTATGGAGCGCACAGGTAAACACACCTGTGCGGGGGCAGCTGCGCGGGTTGAAGGAAGTCGGTGCCAGCATCTGGGCACGGCGACTGCACGGGAGTCCCCGGGGGCGCCGGCTTGAGCAAGTTTCCTCACGCCGAGAAGCGAACAGGAACCTGAAGAGACGGAACAGTGCGAGCAGGCGACAAGACGTTAGCAGCGGCGGCGGCGGCGACGACGACGACGACGACATCGCACGACAACATCGAACGACAACATCGAACGATGGCCCTTGACATCGGCGCTTCAACGCCAATGCAGGCGACACGGCCTCCCAAGACTCCCGACTGATCCACACTCACCAGAGGTCGCAAACGGGTTTTGATTCCTTACCCGTACCCGGCCGCACCAGGGTCGAAAACGGGTATCCGTACCCGTACCCTACCCGATACCCGGCAACCCGTACCCGGCCGGGTATCGGGTAGGGTACGGGTACCCGATTGTGACCTCTGGGATGAAGCCATGTTGCAGGCGCAGGTTGGTTGATTCTAGGAACTTGAATTGTGAGAAGAGACAAGACGTTGGGAAATGAGTGACAAACGGTGACTCACCAGTGACTCACGGCCTACCCCGTACCCGGCCGCACCAGGGTCGCAAACGGGTACCCGTACCCGGCCGGGTATCGGGTATCGGGTAGGGTACGGGTATCGGGTACCCGGTTGCGACCTCTGACACTCACTCGCCGACCCCCCCGCCCACCCGCTCGCCACACTGCAGGTCTTGCCACTCCCCTCGCTCGCACTGCCCCCCCACTTTGAAACTCGACTCCGATTGTTGTCTCTTTCCTCCTCCCAAGCTCTTGCAGGAATAACGTAGCTCAACTCAACAAGCGCATGGACTCCTTTACAACTCCTTGTGGATCACGCGCCTTCGACGGTGCCGCTTGTCGTTGGCCACTTGGCGTTATGGGCCTTTGGGCCTGCACTTGGCAACAGTGATTTTAAAAAAATACGTCAACAAACAATTGAGCTGTTGGCGCTTTGCAAAGACCGAAGACCAATTCGTACCGCACGTTATTCGGCGCGACACCTTCCTCAAGAAGAGCCCGGCAACGTGGTCGCGAAACGTTGGACATCGCGCCGAACAACACGCGGCAAAAACAACACCGAAAACACGTCTTAGAACAATTGATAACGATGGCGACGACGACGATTACAAATGTTGACGACGAAGCCACGAGGAAGGCAGACGACACTCGACGGCCACGTTGACGCTGGTGTTGTATAAAGGGGGGGCTCACGTTGCCGCTGGTGTTGCATAAAGGGGGGCTCACATTGCCGCTGGTGTTGTATAAAGGGGGGCTCTGGCGATGCGGGTGATGACGGCTGAGTGGCGGCTTGGGAATCCTCGCTGCCGATGCACCTGGCGCTCGAGCCGGGCGGTTCGAGGCAGCTGCGGGCAAACTCGGGACCTCGCGCCGCTCACGTCGCTCACCCCGCGACGCACACGGAATGGCCCCACCACTCCCCCACCCCGTTCAGTCATTAACTGATGTGTCACTGTCCTTGGCGCAGAGGTTCAAAGCGGGTACGTCAACAGTGACGACGACCCCGAGCGAGCACGACCGACGCTCGCTCCTCCGGACGAGAGTTACGAGAGGGGGGGGGAAAGAAATAATTCACGTGACGGTCCTCCAGCAGCTCCCCCCCTCGACGCGATTCATTTCTCTGCAGAAGCACGAAGATGAAAGCGCGCAACGGCGACAACGCCACGGGAGCAAAATTCAACCGACCTCTTGACCCTTGACCCCCCTGAGCAATAGCGACCACGCAGGGGCAACGCCACAGCGCTCGCCGCTCGCCGCTCGACTTTCCCCCCGCGAACGCCACGTGGGCGACAACTGGGATTGGCGCTCCCGATTGCCGCGAGCGAGCCGCCCGGTGACCCGCTCGACCCGCTCGAGCCGCGCAGTGCGGCCCGGGAGCTCGGCACCTCCCCAGGATGCCCCACCGACCCACCGCAGCACCCCAGCACCCCCCGGCCACCGCAGCGGCAACCGCATCGTTGAGACTCCGCCGCCGCTTTCCAAAAATCAATCGCCCATCGGAGCAACGCGCCGGCGCCGCTCGAGACGTAAACCGCCGTCGACCGCGAATCAAACCTGGGCACAACATCGCCACCGTCGATTTTCTTGAATGCGGAAAATCGCAGATCCCACGGCGGCAAGTCCACGTGGTCAAGCGATCGTGTGAGCGACGAAGGGAAGGGGTGGGGAGGGGGGTGAAGGGGGCGGTGGATGGAGGACCCCCAGCGATGGCGACGGCGGCGGCGGCGGCTTCGGTGGCTTCGCGCAACATCCTGGTTCGGACGTCGACCCGGGCGTTTAATTGCGTCAGATTGCCGCCAAGCGGTGACAGGAGAGGTGCGGCGGGCAGGGCCGCAGAGGGCAGGGCCCTGGCAGCAGGGGAGGGAGGGTGGTGGTGGTGGATGCTGGGGGAGCGCGGTGGGGGGGGGGGGGTGGAGATGGGTGTGAACTTGGCAATTCCCCCACAAATGAAGTGGGGGAATTTTTTTTGTTCTGATCTTAGCCGCGGGTACGCCTACGCCCACGCGCACACACAGGATACGTACCCGCACGCAGACGAACACGCGCGCACTCACACGTAAAACACATGCACCTAAACACAACAGGGACACGCACACACACCGAGAAGCGCACGGAGCACCGATGAGAAGGTGGGTGGCTGACACCACGCCCGGCCGCCTTTGTCTCCCAAGTACTCATGTTTACACACCGCACCAGGTACTGATTTAAAACGGAGGGGGAGGCCACTGGACTGGTTTTAACTATTCAGCCATTCTTATTGGCCGTGGGCAGGAATCGAGCTCGGGTCGTCGGAGTTCGTAGCGCAGCGCTCCGACTTCTGCGCCACCGCGTAAATACGCGCATGCACGCGACCCCCATCCAGGACGCGCCCCACGCCGTGTGCGCGTGCGCGTCGGTGTGTACCCTGCAAGCTTTACATCCGGTATTTTGTTTGCTCGCTGCTATTTTTACGGCGTCTGCTCGCTGCGGGTTCGATTGGAGCTCTCTCTCTCTCCCTCTCTCTTCCCGATCGGCGGTGGCGACGGCGTCGGAAATGTTCTCGCAGCGCCGCGTCTCAAGAGGGCTGAACCGCCGAATGAACTCAGCTCCAAAGCGGAGCGACGAGCGACGGAGGACTGCCGAGCGACGGCCACCCGAGCGTTAAACCTCACACAGGAGCAAGGTCACGGGGGCGCGCACACACGCACACACGCGTGCGCGCGTGTAAAATTTGCATGCGTACGTGGGTGGGTGGCTGAGCGCAGGGCGAGCCTGCTGGCTTAGCGTGGCGCAGCACTACGGAGCCAGCAACCCCGAGTTTGATTCCTGGCCACGGCCAACGTCGGTGGTGATTATCTTAAATCCGTCCTGGATCATCTATCAGCAGCAGTTCCAGGCGCGGTGTGTAGTGAACATCAGCACTGAGGAGACAAAGGCGGCCGGGTGGGGTGCTGCAGACCACCTTGTGTGCCGTGCCGGCCTTCAAAAGTGCTCACTAACAGCACTTGCCTCAACTACCTGTGCAGGCTACACGGGGCAGCTCTGTGTGTGTGTGTGCGTGGGTGTTTCATGAGCGGCAGCAGCAATCCGCACATTCCATGCCCGAGCGTGGACGCAACCGCCGGTGAGCGACCCGCGGTGACCCTCACCCTCCTCTTTCCACGTTGGGTGAGCAGTGGGGGGGGGGGGGGATTTCCGACCCCACGGTAGGATCGAAAGAGGGGGGGCCCACTCCTCTCTCTGACAAACCGCCCCCCTCGAAAAACGCTCAAAACTCACAGCTCTCCAAAGCATTTCCGCATCGCGCCTTTCCCCCAAATCGAGTTCCCTTCATCCGGCAGTGGAGAGATCGACCGTAGCCAAACGGCAGAAATGCCGTTAAGCCCCCTGCCACAGGAGTGGCCGATGGCAAGCCCCCTGTTTCCTCACGACCCACCTGTATCACGAGCGCCGGTGCGCGCCTCCCACCCAACACACACCACCCCGTGCCTGCTGCAGAGGCACACGAAACCCTCTCTCTCTCCTAACCGAACGGAGCTCCCAAGTTCAAATCCAACGCTTGCGCCCGCGAAAACCTCGTTTACTGGCAGTAGCGGGTGGGAGGGTGAGCGGTGGTGGTGGGGAAGGGCACGGGAAAGTGAATTCGCGGGAGGTCCAAGGGCAGCTTTGCCTTCGCCAAGAAATAAAACTTCAAACGACACCAAACCCCCTGGCCCCACCTCTGTGTCCCTAACCGCTCCCCGCTCGCTCTCCCCCCCCCCGTCACCTCCGCCGCCCCCCCACGAACAAAGCGTGGGAGTGACATTTTGCGGTTGAAACTCAAGGCGACGACGGCGTTGGCAGAGCGGCCGAGGAACCTCGCACCCCGCGACGCACGCCCCCGCTGCTGCTGCACTTCGCACCGCGTTGCGTCGTGTCTCTCGCTCCAGCGAGCGGCTCGCTTCGACCGCCGAGGCCACGTCGCGCTCTCACGCCACCCACCGCACGCGGAAGGGCCTCCAACTAAAGGCTGTGTGTGTCCAGCCACCCCCACCCACCACCCCCCATTGCCAACTACCGTAGAAAGTTTATTTACGATTTCAAATTTACTTGGATATTCAAATTTATAAGGAGGGTGAAGGGGAGGCTGCAATTGCGCACTGCTGCTCGAAGGGGCCTCCACTGTTGGTGGTTATGGAGTGACTCCCCCCCTCTAGTGAAGATTGGCCTCCTCCTCCACACTGGCCAGCTTTTCTAGGAATAGGAGAGAGTCGCCCACACTTTGCCCCACCATCCGCCGATTGACCGACTGCTGCGGCGCACGCCCCCATTCCCGTCGCTGTCGGAAGCAACGCCCGCCGGCGGTGGGACGCGCGCGAGAAGTCGCAGGGCTGCACCTTTTTTTCTTTAACGACTAAACGAACGAATGTGCGAGAACGAGATGCGATCCGTACGATAAAAACAACAAAGCCGACCTCCCCCCCCCCCCCCGTCGTCGAATGCCGCGCCCGGGTGATGGAAGCGAACAGGGGCCCTCCTGACCGCAAGTCCAGCGCGATGACCCCCCCACCACCCCCGTGTGAGCTCTCCTCGGATGCAAATATTTTGTTT